TTTGTTGTCTCTCTGTTTCTGAGCTTTTTGTGCATCTTTTGACATAATTGTGCTTCCCATTATTTCTCTTCTCTGACTTTTACTTTGCCTCGCTTGATCTCCTGAAACTGCTGTAAAATATCTCAAAATAACCTCCTCCCTGTGGAGGAATATAGGTGACAGCTGAGTGCCTTAATTATGGGGACAGAAAAAGGTGAATAAGCTGCGAGTGCTGCTCCACGGGGCTGTGCTCATTTGCAGATTCAGGACTTTATTTAGGGGTCTACAATACGGTGCAGTACTCAGTGTCATGTGTGACTATTGATCTGTGTAATAAAAACAGATGTCATCGATATGAAACCCACCGGTTTATAAATTTCATGGTCCTGGATTCTTTTGGGATTTATTGAGTTTTTATTCCTGTTTTGATTTTTAATGTTTTGTGTGTCTCCAGCCTTTCCCTCCCTCCATCTTCTCCTTGTGTTTATCATATCTTCCTGTTTTATTTTGGAATTGTTTTTCCTTGTGCGTCCCTCCCTGGCTTTCACTTCTTGTCTAATTGGGTCATCTTCTCCACCACCTTCACTCCACACCATAAAAAACCCTCATTAGGCTAAAACAGTCATTTAAATAAAAATATTTAAAAGGAACAAAAAATCCAGCATCATCATTATGAGTTGGGCAAGAGAAATAACCCAAAGCGAGATACTCAAGTGTCTTATTCATGACTAATGGGAGGGTGGAGCGAGAGGTGGACCCGTGGATTGGTGCATCAGCAGTATTGGAGGCATTATACTCGGCTAAAGTGGTGAAGAGAGAGCTCCAAACATTCATCCAATCTTAAAAAATGACAGAAAGAGCAAAGCTGTGAATTCAAGTGCTTGAAATGAGTTTCCCTGTCTTTGAGGCAGGCTGACAGGCTGAGGACCTTGGACGCCTGGTGGGAGCTAAGAGAAGAACTACTCCATTATGTTGGAAGGAGCCAGTTGAGGTTTCTTGAGCACACAACAATAGGGAGGAGACTTTGGAGCAAGCCCAGAACCTGCTCTCGAGATCAGGCCTTGGGGGCCACGAGGGACTGTTCAGCGCTGCTGGGGAGAAGGGCGTCTGGAATATCCTCCTTAGCCTGCTGCTTTGGATAAGTTGATGATAACGGATCGATAGATGGATGTTGGATTCAGTAAGATTTGAAACTAATGACTAAGAACATAACAACAGTCCACATAACATCCAGTCCACCATGCAGTCACCAGCACCTTTCAGAAAAGGGTCTGTGCTCTCACCATGATTTGGAAGGTAGACAAATGTGTGCGCGGAGCCTCGTGTTCACCCAACCGATGATGAAAAATACGACGTGAACCCTCACATATGGGTGGATGCGTAATGGCTGTTCATGTTTGAACCAAACTGTGAGGGAGGAATCGGCTCTGCCAAACTAGCCGCTGCTGCCAGTCATGTGGAAATGTTCCCGCAGAGTTCAGCAGCAGTGTTTTCTGAACTCTCTCACCTTTTAATGCACATAAAGGCTTTATAAGAGACTTAAAGGAAAACGGGAAATCTCAGAAAAACATTCAACTTCCTTTTAAATTAAATTTGATGTTTCTGTAAAACTGTAAACAGAAAAGACTTGGTAATCCCATGTGATTACTTCCTCTTTTCCCCCTCCCCATTTACTTGTTTGAGTGACAGTTTGCTTATACATCCAGCTGTCTAGAAGCTCACCGTCTCAGAAGAACAGAGAAACTCAAACACTGCTGAATTACTGAGCGCACAGCAGTCGCACGACACGAGTCTCCCTCCTGCTGCGCGCTCACAGAGCTCCATTGTAAGCGGAGACGTTTGCCATTTGAGAAAAAGATCCCACCTTCTGTTTCTAAAATGACAGCTGGCATTAAAGTACAGCTCATTGTTGGATACTGTGGAAGCATTAGCTGAGTGCATTGTGGTCCGAAAATAGTGGGATTTGTGGGGACTAATGATGTTCTGGAGGCATTTATTTTTCGTAGAGGGCACGCTTTGATGCACAAAAAAGGCCAACGGGTCATTAATGAAAGTGGAAAAGGCTTTGCGCACTTTGAATAACTGCTGGATTTAATACCGTGGCCATCATGGAGTAATCTGCAGCATTTACCGAGGATTATCATGTGCAGAACAATGCCAGTGTAATCCTAAAAGGCTGACCTGTTGGTCAGACCACTGTAATTATGATTATCGGAGCTCATATCCTGATGAGACATTAATACTCACACGAGTAAACAGAAAGTGAACATTTTTGGCTGCACGTTGGGACTTCTTAGACACAGAAAGTGGAAAAAGGAGCAAACTGAAAACTTCATTGACACTTTTGAGTCACAATCGCCTCTGTCCTTCCTCACAAGTGTTTATTTTTTTGGTGATGAACGGAGGTGATGGTGTCGCAGTTGGCCGTGGCAGCAGCTCTATTCCTGTAACTCCTTCTTCTTGTAACATCTTCATTTTTGGCAGCAGAGGATCTCGTCTTTGGTTTCTTTAATTGATTAACATGCCTGAGATGCACCGCGTTGCCATGATTGCATTGTTCACATTTTTGTTGCTTGATCAGCAGTTGGGTTTGGCTCATCCTGTGTTACAGCTATAAACGCTGATAGGAGCCCAGAAATGAATGAGCAAAAATAGCAAACAAACAAATCAAGCAGAAAGGGTTCTCCGGAGAGTCTGAACCACGGAGACAGAGAGGGAGCATACACCTGAGACTCTCTGCAGACATCCACCAACTGAAGATGACAATAATTAAAGCTGAAAACAACAATCACCAGGGCAGATATGTGAATGTCCTGACTGATGTCATGTGGTTAAATAGCAACTGCACCAATTTGGCTTTTTACACCAGCTCCTAAACCTCAGGAAGACTTTTTGTCATCAGTCTGACAGGAACATTAAACCTGCACGCAGACATCTCGCTCTTCTGTCATTCAGACACACGGATCTTAACAAAATCTAATCCAACACATCTGTTTTTAATTCAGTTTGTTAAATAACCAGTTATAAATACTCTTTAGCTCAGGCTATTTGCATTTGTTGCTATATATCTGTGTTAGCATTGGCACTTCGAACAGATTATTATGGTGATAAGTTTTTATTCATGGGCTTAAAAATGAGCGATTTCCAGTGCTATAAAGATGAATGAAGTTTGCACAACCTGACTTAATCACTCAGAAACCAACTGGACCATAAGGGATGACTAAAGCATTTTTAGCATCATTTAGAGCTGAAGTTTGAGTTTGACTGCAGTTAATAAGATGAGATGATCCCTGACTTTTTAACTGCTCCAGAGGGAGAAACAATCCCAGTGTCTGCATCAGTGCTTCAATTTCCAATCCCAAAATAAGACTGATTCACATCCACCAGGTCACCATGGCCTACTTAGGGTCGGAGCTAGGGTTCGTTGTGTTCTAAGCAAATGCAAATATAATATAGCAGTGCTTTTGCAATATGCTATATTAAATTTAGCAGAGCAAAGGGTCGAAGCCTTTTTTTTTTGATATATCAAAAATCCATTCCTCATAACAGGTTGTCAGTGACCCGCTTGATGTAGAGCCTGTAAAGTCTGTGCACCTTAAGGCGTCGCCACAGCAGAAGTTTGTACTATGAAGCAGGATCTTATCCGGATAACCTCAGGATCAATCCTGAGTTCTCTGTACTAGGAAGGTCACTTCTTACAGATTCAAGATCAACAGGTATGAAATCACTTTTATATTTAATCTTTATTCACACACCGCAGCTGAAAGAATACAAACTTAAACCTTCAGGAGCAGGGTACGCTCAGCGTTTATGTTTAAAATCACTGTTTTCCTTACAGCATGCTGTATGTATCATATAGATTGTTAAGCCATAATTTACTAAAATCAGTGAATGAAGGGCAAACGGTACCGTTGTCGATTGGCAACAGGTAAAAAAAAAAAAATTTTTATATGTGATTGTAATCTGCATTTAAGTCTCTTTTACCCGGTTGGAACTACAGCTACTAGAAGACAGAACAAAAACCTGTTCAATGTAATTCGTTTCACTTTGATGTGCTGACAAACTGAAGCAACTTCCATCACAGGGAGCAGTTACTGTAGACAGAAGAAACTTTTTCTTTAGATTGGTTAGGCGCTGCCAAGCCCCCCTCCTCTCATGTGAATTTGCAGAGTATATAACCAGTTTAAAAACTCAATTCACAGCTTCGGAGGAGAACATGTGGAGCCACTAAAGCCTGGCAGTGGTGGGATTCGAACCCACGCCCCCAAAGAGACTGGAGCCTTAATCCAGCGCCTTAGACCACTCGGCCACACTACCGGTGACTTCCACTTAATTTCCATCTGTTGGTTGGTTAAACCTCAACGAGAAAGCTCTATCCCTGTAACATGCTCTTAATATCCAGGTGTCCAGAAGTTTTTAATTCGTTTTTATTTACACCTTCACGTGGGATTTAGCATATCTAAAAAAGTCTTATAACAGCCCAAAAGGTCTGTCAGTGGTAACAACTGACTATTTCTGAAACTATGCTTGCAGCTAAAATTCAGTCTAACCCCCAAAATAACAAAACCAAGCCAGGACCCACAAACAGGATCCAAAAACAAAGAAAGACCCAAACAAGGATTCAAAACTCAGAGACAGCAGGAAAATCCCCACATAAAGACAGAGAAGCAGCGAAGGACAAAACCAAATCAAAGCTCAAGTTAGCAGAAAACCAAACACTTGAAATCATCACCAAACGCAGAGACTAAAGCAATAAGCGTTATTTTTCCTGTAAATGCTCTTCTTGAACTCACAAATACAGCAGGTGGACTGTGGTAAATTGTACAACATCTCTTCCTAAATGCACTCGCTGTAAGTGATGTAATGCAGTAACTCTAACGGCAAAGCAAAACAAAGCCTGTGTAAGAATTTCATCAGTGGAGTAAAAAAGACCCAAGCTCACTGAATACTGCCACAAATAACTGTCAGCATCATCATCTGTTTCCCACATAAAGTTCAACAATCACAGCTGCTCGACTCACCTTTGCCTTTGCACCTCCTCCTCCTCTTCCTCTTAGACTTTCCTTTCAGGTCTGACCGCTCCATGTTTCTGCTGCAAGTCCCCGGTGCCATTCAGGAGATGTTTTTCCCTTTGTTATTATACTAGTTTGTCCTTCTGCTGCTTCTTCTCTTCTGCTGGTCTGAAACAAATGAATCAGAGTGCAGCTCTGCAGCGGGAAGCCCTGCACAGTGACTGACTTCTCTCTCCCGCTGCCGGCTTTAGGAGGCGGGCGACTGCTGAGGTTGTGACATCACGAGGAGAGAAAGGGCTGTGATTCAGCATCAGTGAGTTTGGTGGCATCAGCTGGTGGTCAGTGGCACATTTTGTAAATCATACAGAGGCGCTGAACTAGTGTCTGAACGCTACAACCAAACATAAGCATCAGAATATTGATGTTAGGGGAGAAAACAGAGGAATATGAGTGTTTCTGAGAAAGATGGAGAACATTTGAAGCATGTGGTCAGAGGATTCAAAGTTATCATTTTCACCAACTAACCTATCATGCATGTCGTTGGACTGTGGAAAGAGAGCAGAGAAACCAGCTGTTTGAGGACTCACGTGAGCTGCTCCGCTGCACTGAACTGTTCCACATATCCTCTGACTGAGGTGCACGTGAGAATGTGGTCAGACTGGACATCAGCCCGTCTCTAACCTGTGTGATGTCAGACTGAGCCAATGTGAGAGAAGCATCTAGTCCAAACAATGTGCTGCTTTTGAGTTTACGCGTCCCACATGCTCTATCCAGACGGCTTCTACACGAATGCTGAAGCAGACTCCCTCCTGCTGTGTGCTTCACATGAGAAAAGGACAATTTTTGAAAATATGCAGACGTGACTCCCCTGAAATTTTCTGGAGTGTGAAAACAGTTTGTTTAAGTAATTTAAGAGTGATGAAAATCTGCAGATTGCTGGTGAATTTCTTGGAGTAGCTCCTCCCACGGTCACTGATGTCAGTGGTCCAGCTCTGGACCCAGGTCTGATACTGTGCCAGCTTTTAGACACAAATTGGGTTTTCTGTGTTTCTGAGCTAGTCCCATGGTTACAGCGCTAAAACATGTTAAATCTCTGGCTTTAAATAAACTATCAGTCTCAGATTTGTAATATAGTTTTCCACATTTACTCAAAAACGTCCAGAAATCATAGAATTAATAGAAAATGATGAATTAATAATAAGCACATACTATAAAATACTAGAGAACACGTGAAATGCCTAAAACAGACCGACCAATGCACAGAACTCTGCAGTGGCCACACATAAATATGGACTGTGCTGCACATGTGACAGTTATGCATACTGCATGCATGCAACAATATAACACTTAATACACACACGCACATATTAAACATTGAAGCTTGAAATGTAGGTTAGCGAGCTGCTCCCGCTGTGTTGTTTCAGAAACAGCAGGAGACAAACTGAACTTCTCGTCGTGCTACACTTTTATCTGCTTTGTGTCTCCTGCTTGAGGTCTGCAGGCTTCAAAACCAACCCTATGGAAGTGAGAAAGAGGCAGAGGATGAAAGATTTTCATGTATGCATAAACTGTATCCTAATTAAAGGGAAAAAAAGGCAAAGAGACAAGGTGTATTTACAATGCTGTGCTGTCTAAAAGATGACAGAGGAGACCTGCCAACGCTGAATTCAAAGCACCGTCAGTATTTCTTATGAGCAGGTTCAGAGGAGCACTTTAAACCCAAATGCAAAAGGATCAAGTGTTAAAACGTTCACGTTCAAACATGTGAAACAATCTCTGGTTCAAGACCAGGGGGTGACACTAAGCAGGAAGGCGTCCTGTGTGAAAATCTGTGATATATCAAATACGTTAAGCTGCCAAAGGTATTCACACTCCCGTCCAAATCATCAAATTCAGGTGTATAAAATCAAGCACCCGGACATGCAGACTGCTCCTACTAACATTTGTGAAAGAACGGCTCGCTCTCAGGAGCTCAGAGGATTACAGCGTGCTACCGTGATAGGACGCCGCCTGTGCAACAAGTCCAGCCATGACATTTCCTCACTTCTAAATGTTCCACAATCAGCTGTTATCAGCATTATAACAAAGTGGAAGCGACTGGGAACCACTGCAACCCCCCCGTAATACTAACATATGCTCAAAAATACATTTCTATTCATGATGATGAATCTAAAAAGACATTTGAAGCTTTCTGCTCTAATTGAAACTCTTTTGCATCATAATGTCTCATTTGCATAATCCCCTCTCATTTCCTGTCCTTTCAACCTTACTTTCAATTAACAATGGCTGTATAATCCCCGTCAATCACTTCCTCAAACTGATAATCTGACTGTGTTACATCTGCATCTACTCATCCCCTCTGCTTTGCTCCTCACCTTCACTTAGCTCTTGCTGCTATCACACTTCATCATTTCAGCCCTCCTCTATAACGAGGTGTTCTTCCTCTTTGTTTATCGCCACGTGTCGAGCTTCTGGGATTCACATTTTCTGTAGCGTTCACCTTGCTGACTCCCGAAGCTCCACTGCTGTGTTTTTATACGACTGTGTACAGTTTCTTCCATCAGTGTGGCTCAGCAGGAGAGGAGGTGAAGGGTTTCTCTCATTTGTATGTAGAAAAGTTGGCGTGACATGACTCACAATCAAATACATTTATGTACTATATGAATGCTGTATTTTCAAACTGATATGTCTGCTTAAAATTTCCCTGTAGCTCCCAGGATCCAGCTTCTTTAAGCACGATCCTGGGAATCCCTTAACCAGGAAGGAAACTCAGGACTTCAAAGCACATATAAAAATACAGCATACGAACCAAAATGAGGCATTGTTAAAGGATACATTTGTACTCTACCTTCTCATCCAAATATGGTAACTTCTGGCTTGAAGCAACAAACTCCAAAGCCGAGGCTTCAAAACACAGAGTTAAAATAAATGGATGATGTCAGTGTCAATCACAGTCCATCTTTAAACTGTCAGCGGATCAGAAACGCCATGAAATGCCTCTGGGACCATATTTAGGCATTTACTTTGAAGTATTACTGAATCTCAACTTATTTTAAGTGGTCACATGAAAACATTGCTGATATAAAGTCAACAGTCAAATGTGAATGTTTTCAAAGGAAAATTTTACTGACTTTGCCCCAGAACATGACTTTAAATGCTTTGTACTCCGTGACGCCCGCAGCATCTGACAGACAAGGAACTGGTAAAGCTGCAGTTGTAACTTCATTCTGGGATCTTTTGTGTTTGGGTGACATGAATCCCATATGCACTGGAAAGCTGTAATAACATTTCTTTAAAGTTTCTGCTTTAAAGGATGCTAATGATGCTCTGTGTCACCCATGACAGTTTTAAAGAGGTTAAATCAGCCAGATTTGCACATCCAAAGACAATCAGGCGATCAATATGTAAGATTTATTCAAATTTATGGTTGTGAGATCTTCTTGAGCGTCGTCAATTCATCATTTTTCATCGCTATTTTCTCTTTCTTAGCAAGAGATAATATATAACACTCTTTGGGGACCAGCCTAGCTGTCAGTGCTTCCAGTCTTTATGCAGACTATAAATTCTGCATTCTGACACGGGAGCTGGAAATAAAGAGAAACCCCCCTCAAAAAAACAAAATAACAAAGTTTATTTTCACACTAATGATCCCACGAGGCTGACGTTACGCAAAGTGGTTGTCACGCTTCATCTAAAGAGACCTGGTATTCAGACAGGGAAAAGGCAGGTGGGTGGAAAACAAGATGAAAACTGTAACAAGGCCTCAAGCGCAGAATGCAGCAGGTTTGTCTAAAAGAAAAAAAAGAGAGAGAATAATAATAATAATAATAATTCAGCATCTAGGACTCTAATTGGAGGAAACAACAATGGACTCTAGAACAAGGAAAAAGGAGAGACCGAGGGAGTCAGTCAGCAGTAACTACATGTTACTCATTAGAGTTTAAAAACGTTTAAAAACATTTAAAAACTTTAGTGATAGAAAGTAATTTGTTACATTACCTGAAGCTAAGTCCATTGTTTAGATACAGTCTATCCTTCATTAATGCTGCTTGTTGTGTTTCATAGTGATGAGCAGCATGAGCGCTTCCTACATATTTAATAAAATACATATTCAATCCTTCCTTTCTGCCTTCCTTTGTTTTCTTGTTTCTCTACCTCTCCTTCTATTGTTCTTCCTTTCTTCCTTTTTGTCTTGTTTCTTCCCTTTCCTTCATTCATTCCCTACGGTCTTCCTAACTTTCCTCCTTTTCCTTCTCTATAAAATTTCTTCTTTCCTTCCTTCCTTTTTAGTCTTGCTTCTTCCTTTTCTTTCCCCTTAATCCGTCTCTATACCCCTCAGGTTCCTTTATTTCTGCCTTTCTTCTTTTCCTGACTTCTATCCATCCGTCATTCTTTTCATGTTTTATTTCTATTTTCCTTCCTTCTTCCTTTCTCTGTACCATTCCTTCTTTTGTTGGTTCCTTTCTTACCATACTTACTTCTGTCCATAATTTCTTCTATTCTTGCTTTTCTATTCTTTTCTTTCTATCAGTTTTCCTTCCATTTGTCCTTCCTTCCTGCCTTTCTTCAACCCCATTCCCTCTCCCTTTCTAGTCATTTACACTGTGTGTGTGTGTGTGTGTGTGTGTGTGTGCGTGTGTGTGTGTGTGTGTGTGTGTGTGTGTGTGTGT